GGGTCACCCAAGTCGGTCAGGTTGAGGGATAGAGGTCTGACAAAGTGCAATCCACTGGTCCTCCAGGGGGGCACAGGGCTAACAACCCAGTCCTGTAGAAAAAATATTGCTACGGAAACAGCAACAAAAATAAAAAAACACTACTGTGTACAATGGGCCTCCAGAGTTATGGAAAGAAATTAGAATAAATGTCAGTAGTGAAAGACTCAAGGAAGCTACTGACAGGAAGGTGGGTGCCCTCAACACAAAATGCAAGACCAGAATTGGATTCTGGAATGTGCAAACCTTGTACCAAACAAGTAAACTCGCTCAAATCACAGCAGAAATGAGAAATTACAACCTGCATATTCTCGGAATAAGTGAGAGTAGGTGGACAGGAACAGGCAGACACAAAACCAACACAGGAGAGACCGTCCTGTACTTCGGAAGAGATGACAACCAACATCATGAAAGGGTAGCCATCGTCCTTAGAAAAGGAATGGAGAAGTGTCTGATGGAATGGAAACCTGTAAACAGCAGACTCATGAAAGTCAGATTGTGGGGGAAACACATTAACATCACAATCATCCAATGCTATGCACCAACAAATGACAGTGATGAAATAACCAAGGACATATTCTATGACCAGCTTCAAGCCGAATTAGAAGAAACTCCACAACATGATATAAAGATAATAATGGGTGATTTAAATGCAAAAATAGGCAGCAATAACCAAAATTATGACAGGGCCATGGGGAGGGAGGGCTGCGGCAAAAAACGGAGAGAGGCTGTTAGAGTTATGTACCACTTACGACCTTGTCATCGGAGGTACCCTATTCCCACATTGCGACATCCACAAACTCACCTGGTGTTCCCCCAATGGAAGAGACAGGAACCAGGTAGACCATCTAATGATCAATGGCACCTGGAGACGATCACTCTTGGACGTCAGAGTCAGGAGAGGAGCTGATGTCGGCAGTGACCATCACTTAGTCACAGCAGTGCTGAAGTTAAAATCAAGGAGAGCCGAGCAGAAGACGGGCATTTTGACGTGGAGAAATTACATGACCCAAAAGTGAAGGCCGCTTTTATACTACAGCTGAAAAACAGATTCCAAGCTCTGGCAGACACGGGTGACAACACACAAAAAGGACCTGATAACGCCAACATGAAATGGGAACAGCTCAAAACCGCTTACTCCAATAGCAGTGAAGTCTGCCTTGGAATAAAGCAAAGGAACAGAAAAGAGAGGATTACAGCAGACATCTGGAAAGTCATAGCAGATAACAGAGCCCTTAAGAAGAAATTAATGGAAGCCAAGTCAGAAAGGATTAAAGATAAATACAAGCAACAATATAGGGAAAGCGACAGAACAGTTAAGAGGATGGCAAGAGAAAACAAGAGAAATTATATAAACAGTCTTGCAAACCAGGCAGAAGAAGCAGCAAACAAGGGAGAGCAAGGTAAGGTTAGACTGGAAGCCCTTGAGAAATTTAGGAGGCGGTCCAAGAGGCATTGCCTCAAATAGTGAGCCAATTAGATTGCTCCTCTTGATGATGAGTGGAGAGAGAGAGCCCCCTGCTCCCTCTTCTCTCTGTGGGACACAGAGGGAAGGAAAAAAAACCCGGCAGGGAGACAGCTTTTGCAACAGATAAAAAATGACAGTTATGTGTGCATATTTCACTGAATTGTTATTGCATTGTGTATATGAATTCAGAGTGATCCTAAGACACTAAACTTTTGTTTTGTTTCTTTTTTGTCTATGTTGTGTGAGAACTGAAGGAAAGACGGAGGAGATGAAATGTGTCTGAACTGGATCAGTCCAAAGGGCAGATGAGCAGATACCTGGCATTACTTCACAAACACTGGAAGCTTGCAGATAACAGCGTGTAGGGATCCTGAATCCAGCTTGATCAAGGCCAGTGCGGTTTTATCCACAAACTCTTTCAACAAACACCTGAATTTCTCTATATGTGTATACATTATTTATAGTCAACATTTTTGATACATGGTTAGTTTGTTTTCACATATAGGCTCACAGTATTTCTACTTATTCGGAGGAAATCTTGGCAAACAGACTGACTAATTGAAGCATTTGGCTAATTAATGGAGTATTGCTGAGTTGATTGATCATTTGTAGAGAAGTTGATTTGATTCAAATGCTGTTGAGTGCTGTGAATGCTGGTTTCATTATCTGAGTATGGTCTAGCTTGACTGGGTCTATTTTGAGATGGAACATTGACATTATTTCCATAATTTTCAGATAAATAGGTGTGATTAGATGCACTAGGTGATAAACAAGTGCTTTTGCTTTCATAGTAAGAAGCCTTTGGTCTCCTTTGGGGTTGGCAAATTCATTCACTTTCAAGTGTGGTAACACGTTATTTTCTAAATAGTTTTTAACTATTTCAGTTTGACTTACAATACAAGGAACTAAGAGGGTCACTGTAATGTCAAAGATGGACACCAAAATTACAAAAGCAATCACTCCTGTTGATGTAGTGCAGAAGACTAATCCTCTTGTTAAAAATATTCCAAAAATATCAGAAAAATGGAGCAAGCGTTGGCCTGACATTGACCAGCCTTGGCCAGTAGAAGGGACTTTGAACCCGGATGTGATCAAAACAATACAGGTACTTGTGTCTACACATAAGGTAAAACAGAAGAAAGGCAAAAAAGAGAAAGAGACCTAAGGAGAAAAGACAAACTGAACTTGGCATTCTGCAGTTATTTGAAAAATGAGGGACAGAAATTGTTAGAAGCTGCAAGAGAAAAAATCGACAGAAGTATGCAAGAAATAAAGAAAAATGGTAAGGAAGCAGGAAAGTTAATGGAGAAGGTTAACACACCCTTCTCACATACTGCATCAGCAAAGAAGCCCCCGCCTTATGAGAAGGAAGTGAAGTTTACTGATGTTTATCCTCAGCTCCCAGTGATAAGACAGGAGGGCAACTATCACATCACGGATGAGAGTGATAGTGATGGAGACTCAGGGAGAGAAGGTCTTTCATATCTTCACCCGCTAGCAGCCGGTACAGGGGTGGAAGATGGTGGATGCAGGATTTTAAGAGAGAATGAGAGGACTATAGATAGATGCCTTGTGAACATAAGTGAATCTACCAGTCCAGAAACCAAGCAATTATTGAAAAAGCAATTAAAAGAACTGCAAAAAACACAGAAGAAAATACAGAAGAAGTCTCAAAAGTCTGACACTTTGGGGTATGTATTACGTCCAAGAAAAGGAAAGAGACTCGATAAAATGTGTCCAGTAATTGTGCGAGGTCAAAATTTAGAGTATAAGCCTTGGCAAAGTACAGATATGTCAAACATACTTGAAAAGTTACCCACTCTTCAAGATGGAGCACATCCTTGGATTTCAAAGTTGGGGTGGTTTTGGTGGGAACACAGCCTGCCATGGGAGACATTAAGAGACTTTTGGCTCACCTCATTGGTGTCCCAGCGATGGAGGAAATCCTGCATGCGGCTGGCCTTAATAGATATGTGGCGACTGCAGTGTATGATCCGGAATTGTTGGCTGCAAGTAGAGGTCGGATGTGGAGAGCATTGAGAGATGCATTTCCAACAAACGTACACCCTGATAATATTTTTATTGAATCATTGGGCCCACAGGAAAACCCCAGAGCTTATGTGTCAAGGGCTCATCAAGTGTGGAGAAATGTTACAGGAAATGACCTGGATTTGAATCAGATGGAGCAATCGATTTTGAGAGCTAAGATACAGAAGGGGTTGCCCCTACCAGTGTGGAGCAAATTGGCAGAGGTGGTTGGTCTTGGAAGCATGGCAAAAGGTGTGTATACGGATCACATAGCACATTACATTGAGCTATGTCGGAAAAAGGAGCATGACCAGAAGGAACAGGACCAGGAGACTCTTAGAAAACTTAACCAACTACAGCTGGTGGACAAGAAGAAGGAGATGAAACAAGCTGTGGTTATGCAAAGTCAGCTTCAACCAACTCAATTACCACCACAACTGCAGCATGACCAGATCCAGTTTCAGCCACCTCAGCGGTTATCCATGATCCCCACTGCACCTTTTCCGCAGTCAGTGTTTGACCAACCACAGATATGGAGAGGAAAAGGTCAAGGAAATTTAGGAAGAGGCAGAGGAGGACATTTCCAACAGTCTTCAGAAGTGTGTCAGAATTGTGGCCAGCTAAGCCACTTTGCTTGTAAATGTTACAGAACAGATGAGGTTTTAGAGGGGTATAGATAGATGCTGAGGTTGGAGAGGACTTTTCCATGTGCAAGGGGGGAGTTAGGAGAAAGATTATGAAAGAGTATGGTTTTGGGGCACTGTATTTGCTTGAGCAGATTGATTGTGTCATAGGCAGGTGTACTATTTGTCTCAAACACAATGTTAGGACGCCAATAGGTCCTATGTGTGAGTTAGTTGTGGATTGTGTTGATATGATAAGACCGGTAGGAGGTAAAAGATATATGCTAGTTGTTGTGGACAGATTTTCAAGGTGGCTTGAAGCCTGTCCAACTAAGCGGAAAGATGCTCAGTCTGTTGCTAAGTTTTTGTGTTGTGAGGTCATAAGCAGGTGGGGACTCCCAGACTGCATATCTTCAGATAATGGGAAAGAGTTCATGGATAAAACAGTAAGACTAATTTTGAAAAATTGGGAATTAAACAACGTTTAGGAGCTGTTTGTCATCTGCAAATCCAAGATGTTTGTGAAAAAAAAAAAAAAAGAAGGATGTGTTAAAAAATGTATTGTTAAAATCTGCCAACACATAAGTCTGAATTGGATGAAGGTGTTTCTGTTGGTGTTAATGGTGTTTTGATTAAAGCCACACAGAGGCCAGCGATTTTAACTGGGGATGACTGTTATACTTTGATCCCTGATGTTGCTGACAATATGACTAGTGTCATAGATGCATTGACACTCATAAGGAATTCATTTGGTCCATCAGAAGGAGCAGGATGGTCTGATAATGCTTGGTTGCAAGAACAATTAGGACCAGTAGGAGCTATAATGTTTCAGATTCTGGTGGTTACTGAGTGGTAATGACCTGAGCGAAGATGAGGAGGTCATAGAGATGGGACAATAGCTAGTAGAGAAATATCCATTTTGAATATCTGACTTCATCATTTAATTGCTATTATTTTGAATAGGAAGTGAATGGATAAAAGGGGGAAATGGAATATGTATGTTATCATGTATAAGTTAATCATGTAGTGGAATAATGTGAAAGTATGATACAAAAATGAATATTTTTGATGTTTTTGTATGTGCAAAGATACTGATTGTTGATTTTTCTTCCTAGGACAATATTTGGGAGACCAATGTGAGGGTGGCTGATTGTCCAGAGATCTTTCCAGTCTAATGGACTTGAACAACCAAACCTAGGAAAATGGAGGATGGAAATGGACAGCGGAAACCTGAATGAGGACATCATGATGAGGGGTTTCGATTGAAAAATCATTGAAGGTTTGTTACAGTAGAAGCTGATGCTGCTAAAAAGCAACAGTTTGATATATATGTATGTTTTTATAGTGTTTGGATTTTCTTTATTACAATGTAACTTGTATTATTGATAAATATTCTGTACTTTTTACTCTATAATAGATATTTTTTAGTAAGACATATTACTTTGGATTAGTATTGGAGTTTTCTGGAACTGTATAAGATGCATATATTGGGACCTCAGGTGTTTTCTTTCTTTATCGATCCTTAGGGAAAGTGGTGGTAGAGAAAGGTCCATTGGAAGGTGCGATGGGTCGACCAGCCTGACTTAGGACAATTTTTTTGATTTTATTTCTGAGGCTTTAAATGTATGCATTTAAACATAATCCTATAAAGTTTTCAGAACCCTTCTCTTTTTAATTGGTTAGGAGTACTATATGTGGTTGCCTGGGGCAGAGGGACCGTGAGAGAGTTTTCCTGTCTAGATTGTTTGATGGATAATAAAGAAAGATAGCTGCCTGATGGGTTTTTTGCTCTCACACTCCAGAGCAAATAAAAAAAAATCCTATATTGCTAAGGTTAAGCATGGACAGAAGTGATTCTTATGAGGCCAATTAACATAATTGTATTATTTTCTAGTTTTCGAGACTGTTGTCTCGAAGGGGGGAATGAAGTGTCTGAAATGTCTGAAATTCTTTGGACATAGGTTAACTCCTTAAGGGTGTGGAGACCACGTTGGGACAAGTGATTGTATCTGGGACATCTGGACAAGAGATTGTATTTGTGACCTGTGTTGTCCTTTGAGTTTATGACATACATACACCTAAGACAGAAACCCCTGCAGCTGAAGTAAGATTGTTGTCCTGAAAACAAACAGATGTCCATGTTGTTCTCCTGTGAGGTGTGTCTTTAAGTACCAGAGTTTCTGTGTGTTCGAGAGAGATCACTTTTGGATGTGTCTCTCCCAGGTCGAACCATGGCGAGCCTGGAGATGCTGTTTTTGTTAATAAATAATCCTTTTTGAAAGCAAGTCAGTGTCAACGGCGAATTTCTTCATCATCAAACATAAAAACAACAAGGGAAACCACATCAGGGCCATGGAAATCTTTAGACCGTTAATCTGCACCATGAAATAATGATTAAAAGTGTCTTTTGTTAATTGGAGGGAGTGGCAGGTATCAATCATGGCCATTATTAGGCAAGGCAATTCAAAGTGCTTCACACATCAAAAGCATCAAAAGGATCATGACAAAGGGAAAAGAGACGTTAAAAAGAGTGGTTTACCAGACTACGCCCTAAAACCTTTTTTTAGAAAGTTGTTTTTGGCAGATAAGACGGTGGAAAGGTGACAAGAAAAAAGCAAAAAGAGAAGAGATGGCATGCAGCACAGATCACCGGCTTGGACTCAATTGGGGATGAAGTCTTCGACACATCCTTCTACTTATGAACGAAGCTCCAGAGCGATTCGTCCCCAAGGAACGTGCACATATAAACTATTTGGGGGGATTTCGATTGACAAGTTCCCTCATTGCCTTATTATTGTTCTCCATCAAGAAATTTAGACTCAATAGTTTGGGAAGGGACGTCAGTATAACCAAAACAGAATTAGTTTATAATATGCTTGTCATATCTCATCAACAGTCAAACGTTCAAACAGTTATGTGAATCAGAAAGTGTTTAAATGCTACAACATGCTATGTTAGCTTTAGCAGTGCCTCCTTTTTTTACTCTAGCCCCTTTCCCCAAAATGTCTGTGCACGTCCCTAATGCCACCACAAATAGAAATACTTGTGCATACTTATCGCTGTTTCTGTGTAAAGCACAGGAAAAACCACCATGTCAGTCCCAGACTAACAGAGAGAATCTTAAATGTTGAGTTTTTTTACCCGCACAACAAGGTTGTAGTTTTGAAAGCCTGCCCAGGTGTAATAAAACTGGATCCAGCGTCGATGTCTAAATATCTCACTGTCAATGGCACTGTTCAGTTCATCCACATACAAGTCAAAGTCCCAGCTGTCCTTGTAGATTTTTGCATTGGCTGGGGGATTGGTGATGGCCGCACTGTTTGTTAGTGTAGTGATGGAAATATTTACATCAATAAGGTGATATTAAGTGCATGAAGGTCTTTAAATATTCAGATCGATCTAAGAATCGCTTTAGTACATTACTACCTTTGTCTTTTTTGTAGTTTTGCGAGCTTTTTAAAAATAATATTTCTACTCACCAAGAAAACTGAACTTTGCTGAACCAAGACGCTTTAAACACAGTTTGCAAGGTGAATGGTATGTAAATAGGCTTTTCTAGTTTTATGACTACTCAAAGTGCTTTTACACGACAGGTCACACCTACACATTCACACACTGATGGTAGAGGCTGCTATGGAAAGTGATCAGCATTAACTAGTGTCTTGCCCAAGGACATATCAGATGTGTGTCTGCAGGAGCTGGGGATCAAACCCCTAACCTTCTGGTTGAGAGAAGACAACTCTACCAACTGAGCTACAGCCGCAGTTTAATCCAGGGACCTCTAATGACTTATACCGAATGTGGAGGTTGTCTTGTGATTCTAAATCAGTGTGATATAAAATTGGCTGAAACTTATAGCCAACCTGAAAGTTCAGAAACACAGTTCCTTCTGTGGCCACTTTTGGCCTGCCACACAAAAATTCGGTCCCACTATTTCTACACATTACAACATAATTTAAACCCGTAAAAAACACAATTTTGTCCTCAATGGCTAATTCATAATAACTGTGTCTGAGGGGCGACTTTTTTATACAAATAACCTAATTGAATGACACTAAAGATATGTAATGAAAGTTATGAATAATAACGGTTGTGGTTGCTTTTATTGCTAGGTGGTTGTCGTTAGCTTTCTACAAGGTGTCACCTCAGCTCATTCTATCTCCAGTCTTACCAGTTCTGTCATGTTGTTGGGTTTTTTTGCCATTTACGGGATGTGTTTTAAGGTCCTGACACACCAAGGAGATCGTCGGCCGTTGGTCCTAGTTGGACCATTGGGGAGCGGTCGTCGCCCTAGTTTTTGCCGTGTGTCCGGTTTACCCCCGTTGGCCTTTGTTGAATTGGTGGTCGGTGAGAGGAATCTCTCTGAATGGCTCTTCTGAGGTTTCATTTATCTCCAGCTCTCGACACAGGTTTGGAAAAGCCCCTTGATCATGCCGCTGCATGCTTTCATCCATTAATGCGGTTTCTTCTTAATTGTCGCCTCTTTTTCAACTAAAAGACCAAGGGCTGACAACGCCAGCGCCATCTTCAACTTTTTATAATACATTATTCTCCATTAGTAGGCGTGTGTGTAAGATTAAGACAAGAGTGGTGCGCGACAGCGGTGTGAAAATGGCCTTCTCGTATCATAACAATGGACTACCGCCACCTGCTGGCATGGAGAGTTATCCATAACTTTTTGGCCAAGACAAAGGCGGCCTTTGTCTTGTTCTTTGCCGTCTTCTGTGTCAGGGCCTTTAAAGTTACATCTTGTTTACAATCCGTCTAACCCCTTTTGGTTATCTTCGTTTCATTTGTGTTTTCACTCGGCAGCTGGAGGGACGGTGCCCGAACTCAGCTGTTTGAACACTGCCTTGCACTGATTTGAGTTTTGTGATTTATCTTCAGTAAAAACAAAAAAAAAAAGTCAGTTATGTTTTATTGTCAGATATTGGATTAAACACACAGAGTGCTTTAAACATTGTCTACCTGTTGGTGGGATCCTTGAGAGCAAGGCTGAGGTCCAGCACAGCGCCTGGCTTGGGCGTCCATGTCTTGATGTCTGGTGCGGTCTTATTGATGAGCGCGTTTAGATCCTCTGCCTTGTTTTTTACATTGGTATCTTTGATGTACCTGTACACCCAAACACACACAGGTAGAAGAAGATGCATGGATAAAACCGCATATTAACTCTATTCTAAGTCTTAAATAGAGTCAAACATATCAGCGGATCAACTGCGTCCTTTTCAACTCTTTTCTTCTTGGATGTAAATCATTAACCCTGGTCTGCGCTAGCTTAACAAGCTTTACCGGTCTGATGGATGAGCCTCCACAAAGTAGCCAGCAAACGGGCAGTAGATCCTGGGCTCCAAGGACTTCACCAGCTGAGCTTTGTAATTGAGAAGCTTATTCCTTTCATTCTTGATGAACCCTGCTTTCCAGGAGTCTGTAAACAGAAATACTTGGTTAAATGTACTGGATTTAAAAATTCCAATACAAATAGAAAACCTAGGATTTTTTTGGTGGCTAGCCCCCAAATTGTATGGAAAGTTTAGTGACGTAGGATAAAGAGCGTTAAAGTCCCAATTTGGTTCCATGGGAAGAATGATTGATGGGACGCACAAACACGTCTTTTGCTCATCAGACGAGGCTTTGATTTTCCACCACATAGGTAACGTAATGCTTGTTACATTACAGTTCAAACTGCAAATATTTTACAACTTTCACGACTACAAATGTATCACTGAAAGATTCTTTATACTGCTGGCATATTTTAGTTTTAATAAATACACTTATAGGCAGGGTTGATATTTTTGAAAACTAGCATGATTTTGAAAGTAGCATTCCCTCAGTGCAATGTCTACACCATAGACTGTAAATATTACTGGACGAACCCTGACCCGTCTGTTACATAGGCAGAAAATGAGTCCAATCGACGGCCGCATCCATATTGGATTTGCAGTTTCAACCTAACTTCGGATCAACCTAACGACAGCAGTAAGGCGGGACCGGCGGGACTTAACTCCGCCCATTCAGCTCGACGTTAGCAGTCCACTTGACAACATAGCTAACAGCTAGGCTGCTATCATCAACTACTCCTGCTCGTCCTGAGAAAACTCTACAAACAGTAAGTTAACATTTAACTTTTCTACAACACAGTTAAAATGAATTATATTCAACTCAAATATTTAATTAAAGTCTTAAAACTACACTTTGTTAAATATACAACTATGGTTATTAGTTATTTGTCAGAGCAGTTAGACTTTGTCAGTGTTAGCAGAGCAATACATGAACAAAGTTTTATCCATAAACTGTAAATAAATGAGACATCCAGAAGAAATCAATATTACAAAGCATACAGTTCATGTTACTGTTCTGACAAAGAGGAATGTCTGTGTCTTATATTTACTGATGTCAACAGTGATGAGGTGAACATGACAATTGAAAAATAATTATTTAGTATTTATTATAAGACATTTGTTTTCTATTGAACCCTGTGAAGTCATGGAGTCTGTGGTCAGTGTCAGCTTCACACCAAAAACTTTAGTATTAGAAAAAATAGTGTTTAAGACTGGCATCTATTATTATGAATTGCAGCTACTTTGTTCAATATTATTCCTGCAGATGTGGCTAATAACAAAAAAACAGCCTGAGCTGTCACATGTAGTTAACTGTACATTTTGTCTTGTCTGAGGCATTAATTGAACACCTTTGTATTTCTCCTATAGACACAGTGTGGATTATTGGTGACTTGTCCATCGAGGTGCCCAGAGAGCTGCAGAGACAGAGGAAGAAACCTGAGCCTCAACAACATCTGCATTTGTTGGTTCTTCTGGGGTGGACTTCGGTTGCTTCTCTTCAACAGCTCGCTGTGAGGGAGGTCTCCCCCGGATGGCCTGAGTGATGTCACCCACAGGCTGAGAGCTGGAGCTGAGGCGGGTTTTAAGCCTCTTGACAAACCATTACACCGCGCCCACCTGTCAAGCTGGTCAGCTACACGCCTTATTGTGAATAACTCTTATCCTTCATCAAATCAAAACTGATGAGTCATCAAAAACATTCACCCCCCCGTACAGTGTGTGTCCATCGAGACATGAGCTAATCACACCTATTTGTTTGTTTTGTACCAAGCTGTAAACATGTTCATCATGTCATAGACATCATCATGTTGTTTTTCAGATTAAATAAATATTTCTATATAAATGCACTCCTTTATGTCTACTTATGTGTATACATTTCAGATTTGAAATGACAAGACTAAAATGTGCATTAATGCTCAACTCAATAGCTAAGGGAAGGAAGTCTACTTTTACACAACTTCTTATTCTTTCGACATTTTTTTTTACCAAATACTAATGTAGTTCATTTCTGAAAGTGGGATGGAACAGAGTCATTGCAAAAATATGACCTTAAACACAGCCCCACTCTTAAATCAAGATACATGGAGAGTAAATAAGATCAATAACTTGTGAATAAAAACACAGTTAAAAATGATTTAGAAATGTAGTCTTCCCTGATCTATATCACATAATATCAACTTCTCCCATCTAAACTGGACAAAGGGTTTTAAAATGGGAAGAAAATAGTTTGATTGCAAGTTGTTTGGAGGAGATCTAGTTTTATTTGAACAGCTGAAGCATGAATACAGTCTTCTAAGGTGCAAACCCTCCTCCTCCTCCTGAAGCCTGTGGAGCTCGTTGATGTACTGCTGTCTTATCTGCTGGACATCTTCTCTCACCAGAACTTCGACTGTTGAAATGTCATTCAGAAGAAGCTCGAGCATGTGACATGGATCCAGGAGAACATGGACTTTTAGTGAGAGGTCTTCAGGATGGCAAAGAAAGAGAGAAAATATCAGTTATTCATTAAATCATTTGTTTGTGCATTTTCTGTATTCATCTGTGTGTAAGAGCACATTTATAAATTCAACAGTGTACTACCCAGACAACAAAGGTACAGTATTCAGGTAATCAACATCTATTCAAAGTTAAGAAGATAAACATTATTGTAATCATGCTATTTTCAGCTCTCTCACTCACACAATGATATTCCACATCAAATTATCTCAGATTTTGGGTGAGGAAAAATTAAGCAGTTTATTGTGGATAGTACTTCATCTTAACATGAAACAAATATAATCTGAATTATTTAAATCAGTAACAGGTCCCAACTCTCTGTACTTTAGTACAGAACATACAGTAACTCATTTATTATTAACATGAGCTCAGTACATGGCTGTATTCTTCAAACTATTTATTATACTTTATATCTATGTGCTTTATATCTTATTTTCATTCCATATGTTATTTATATTTTATATTTCTACAGCTATATTCTGTGTATGAGTTCAGTGAAAATTAATATGGTTATTAATATAGTTCTTAATGGTTACAGATGCTCTTACAAAGTGAATTTTTTTAAATTTGTTAACAGTTTGCTCAAATCTTAGACACTACATCAACCATGTAACTTTAATGTCATCCTCTATAACCTACACAGCACATTAGGTTCAGTTCAGTTTATGTTACTGACGGATAATTACTACACAAAGTTTGTTTTTTAATGTCCACATTTACGTGGAGTATAACATTCATCATAACGTCAGATAACCATATTTACAGTCTGTCGTTAACCACCGAGGTGAACCTTTAGCTTCTAACATCACACAAACTCATTATTTTCAACAACAACATCTTAACAAACATTTCTAAACCATTGACCGTAAATAATGAGCTACACAGTTAGCCGACTGGTTTACAAGCTAACGCTAAACAAGCTAGGTCCATAAATATAAACACATGAGTAAGCAGTAAATATAACACTACTACATCACTTACCGAAAAAAACTGAAGTATCAACTTGTTGGATGGTCTGTTAACCGCACAGCAAGCCATGTATGTTGTCAGATATGTGTTAAACAAACTCTCCAAACGAAGTAAGAAAGAGGAGAAATCAGACGGATCAAGCTGTTAGCCTCCTGACCTGCTGACCTGACAGACAGATGCAGCGCGCAGAGCTGTCAATCAAATCTGACACAACCAAATATGGGCATAGTCGTTTTCCTTAATAGAATAAAATCCGATGAGTTATAAAAAAATTCCCCCCCCCACAGTGTGAGGAGAAGGGGCCGTCAACTTCTCAGATATATCTCGTTTTTTAAACCAGGCTGTAAACATGTTAATTCCTGTGGTAAAAACGGGCTTTTTTGGCTGTGGGCTTATGGCACTTCCGGCGCTTCTGCAGCCAGCCTCAAGTGGAACCTCGAGGAACTGCAGTTTTTTGTACTTCCGCATAGGCTTCATTTTTTCGAGACCGGAGGTTGCCCCTTGGTCTACACCCACCCCCTCCACTCTGTGCTCCCTCACTTACATGCACGAGCGCCGTTGCTCCAGAAGCAGACCTCAGCTCCTCTCTTTCATTGTGTAGAAACTACGTCATCTCATGTCTCATTCAACGGTAAGCGGTAAAATCACAGTATAAACTCTGTCATCTGTGACGTGCTTGAGTGTGGGCTAGTGAACGCAAGAGGTAGAGAACAAGCAGGGAGACAGGGAGGCGTGTGATTGGTTCATCAGGTTGGTACCTCATGGCAGACATTGGTTGAAGTTTTTACATTACAAACTGATACAGATGACTGATATTCTTTCTTCTTTTTCAGAGCACACAAGTTATTAATTTCTGTCAGGACCTGAAGATAATTTAAACCAAAATCTTAAAAAGTGGATCTGGAGAAATTAACAACCCTGCCTTTAACTATTACTTTTAAAACAAATGCTGTATTTAAGTTCAATCATGAAACAACTTAAGCTTTTTTTTTTACAAAAGCACTCCACACTGCCAATGAAAACTTCCTGAGTTGCTTGTTCACATGTAGACTATCAGGCTGTGAGGGACGTGTGGGGCAGAGCTCTAAATAGGCAGACAACGAGAGTTCAATACAATGAGGAAAATGTGTGTTTATGTCAACCATACATGTAACTCAATACAGCGTCAACAGGCGAACCCAATATGTGAATTGAACCGCACTGGTTCCGTGCATAGTCTGTGGTCATGTGCCTATATATAAAAACATCACCACCCATTGTGGCTCGCTCGCTCGCATGCAGTTGTTTTTTGAGTTGTGTTTGTGTTTTGAGTTACATCAGATCAGCTCGGCATATGAAGTCGGAGTGAAAAAATCGGCTGTTTGTGTCCACGTGTGCAGCTCACTCTGAACAACTCAGGACGTTTTCTAGAGTTTTGGTATGTGTGAAAGCACCATAACAGACTCAGACACTTCTAAACTGTTGTGTGTAGTGAGATGAAAAAGCTGAAGGGAACCCACCGTTGTATTTCCCGCCACAGAAGGTCATGGGGAATCCAGACGCCCCCCCGGCAAAGTCACTCATCATTAGATCCACTTTCTCTGGTAGCCTGCCCCCGTTTGGCCTGGTGCAGTCAACGGTGTTCAGGATCATGTGACCTGAAATCAAAACACATTTATGGCCGTGTATTGGCAATATTCTGGTGTTATGATAAGTATCTGAGTACAGAGGCTTCCATTAAATATATTGCAACATATTTAATGCAAGGTGAAGCAGTGCAGCGTTTATAACCCTGCTTGTTTAAAGGCCTGTGATATTTGGTGATTAAAGCAACAACTTCGGGTGACTGCACTTCCTCATGTGTCCACTTGAGGCTGCTTTATGCTTAGTACACTTGCCATATGAGCTAACTTCTTCTTCCATGATCACTGTTTTTTGTTGGAGTTTAAAGGTCACATATTATCCTCAAAAATTTTAAACCAACTTAGGGTTCCCCAAAACATGTGTGTGAAGTTTCTTGTTCTAAATCCACTCTGATCCTGAATTTGATCATGCCTATAAACACCTCTATTTCAGTCCTGCTCAGAACAGGCTGTTTCTGTGCCTGTAGCTTTAAATGCAAATGAGCTGTGTCTGACCACGCCCCCTCTCTGGTAGGGCTGCAACGATTAGTCGACATAATCGATTACATCGACTATAAAAATTTGTCGACGTGTCGTAATATTGTTTTTGTTATTGGTAAAATCAAATACCGGCCGGTGAAAACCGAAATGCCCGAAATAGACGACCCAGGGCTTCCAAAGTTTGGGAACATTTTATCCAAAACAAATTGGCGAAACACGTTAAGTGCAAACTGTGTGAAGTCACACTCTCCTTCCATGGCAGCACTACGGCAATGCACAAACACCTGAAACGCCGATACCCTGTAGTTGCAGTGTCTTCAAATACCGCGAGTGGGTGAGTTTGCAAGTTACATGAATATCTTTTAGATCTTTTGCATTTAATTACTGAGCCCTTTGTGCTTCAGGCACAAGGATTAATTCAAGTATCCGACTTATAACATTGGTGCCGTATGTTAATCAGACAGAAGGCCATCTTTGATACTTGCCTGGAGAACATTTTGTTCAGTAACGCTATTCAGTGTGCAATTTGCTTTAGTTATCAGTACAATACGTTTATATTAGAGGAAAAACAAACCTTGATGATGTAGCAACTTGACATGTCATGTCAATTTGCTAAACCATTAAGTTTTATTTTTCCTGTTAATACTTGCGTTCAATCTGAATTGTAAACCTCCACTTAATGTCAACTAATTAAACAGATTTGGAGCACATTCAGAAAACTTTGTAAGAGATTACATTTTGGAGAAATCAGTGATATTTGTTTAAGGTATTGATAAGTGTTAAACATAATATTTCTTTCACATTGTTCCATTTTTGCTATTTCTTCTCTCATTTTTTTTAAGTGCCAAGCAAAGGTGTGTGGATGAATTTGTCATGAGGAAAGGCTCATTCACCCCAAAAATGGCTGAGGTTGTCACAGAAAGCGTCCTCAACATGATCGTCATAGACATGAGACCATTATCTATGATTGAGGATGAAGGCTTCAAGCAGATGATACAGACCTTCCATCCAGTCTACACCTTGTACAACACATTTTAAATATAAACACAACACTATTTTGAGTTATTTATTTATACATCAAAGACTACTTGCACTTTTGTTTGCACACAAGTTTGTATTATTTAATGTATTTCCCTTTCATTGTGATCCAAAAAGTATACTTACTAAAACATATACTTACTATGTGCCAAACTCATGTTTCATGTGCCATTATTCTAATTTGCGTTTGCTGGTTGAAATTCACAGGTGTGCATGCTTAAGCAGGCGAGGTAAAACGGGGATCAAAAATAGTATGCCAAATAATTGTGCTTAATCGACTAATCGAAAAAATAATCAATAGATTAGTCGACATAAAAAATAATCATTAGTTGCAGCCCTACTCTCTGGAAGGGCTTGGATGGCGTGGGCTTACTCGCTCCATGCCCTATTGTTTGTGGAAAAGAGGACCAAACACCTACCTGTGGGAGTGCCCCCCCTCATGGGAAGGGGTTACTGCCCTTTGTGATGTCATGAAGGGAAAAGTGGAGCAGGCAAATGACTGAGAGGATGGACTTTTCTCTTAATTGGGGGTTTATAGACAAACTAGGGACATCATATATTAGTGAAAAACATGTTAAAGTGCATTTCATCAAGAAGAGTAAAAAAGATGGACATGGATCATAATATTGCCACCTAGTGGTCTGGAGCCTTAAGGCAAGCACCAAAAACCAACTTTTGCATGTAAAATATTAATTAAACATACACTATGTAGAATCTAATGACAATGTTTACAATAAAATATCTACATTAATTTAAAATGAACTAAACCTATGTTGTATATTTTTGTTTGTTGAGTACTTAAATTACTTAAAATATTTCCAACAGCTATCAAAGCCAGAGAAATCCTTAATCTTAAAGTTGTGACGGGACCTGTCTTGTCGAGGCGGCAGCCATGATGAGCCACCATGGCAGACAGGAAATGTTTATCGTTGCCATGGAAACACCGGATGTTACGTCAAAGACCGCTGGATGAGGAAACAAGAATTGCTACGTAAAGCTAGCTTACTGTTGCTGTATGTACTGCTGTGACACATTAGCTCGTTGGTAAATATATTCTCTTTTTCAGGTTTGTTTCGCCCATTCGTCTTTACTACGTCAACGTGGTGTCTGTTTTCACCGGGGGAGGGGGGTCTCCCATGATTCCCCTCTAGCCTCGACGTTATCTTTTGTTATTGTAGTTTTAATCGAGAGTCCCCTGGCGGCGGAATCTACATATTGTGTCTTTAAAGTTAAATAAATTAAAGATTATTTTTTTGATATCTTCTTTCACATCAAATGAAGACAATGCAAAGTAAACGTTTTAACTATTCAACTTGAATAATTGTTTTCAAAGAGAACAATCATGGAGAAGCATGTACCTTTATATTCCAGAATGATGCAGGTGTCCATTTCAGGATGCACGCCGTCCATCAGGATCATAAATCTCAGGTGCTCGTCAAGCTGATGGAATCAACGGACATGTCAGTGATCAGTTAGAATATTTGACATTAGAGTTTTGTAAATGTTGCTTTTTAAAATATTTATTTTTCAATGACGTTATTTCATGTTTTTATTTTTAATTAACCAGATGTGACTCACGTTTTGCCAGACTCCAAAAGGGACGACGTTGATGTTGGTTTGCTTGACTTGGCTTTGCTCCGAAGCCCTTTTGCATCAAGACAGAGGGAAGCACATGTGAAAAAATAGACACAATTTGAAAGTTTTCGTAGTGGTTGATGTGTTGGGTTTAACAGAGCTCCATCTCTTTACTAACCAAAAGACAGGTCTTGATGTGTCACTGACAAAAATGGGGGCATCTGGCCTCCTGTCTGAGAGGACCTTCAGTGTGGGATAACTAAAAAAGGAAGAAAAGGTTAGATCCCTCACGGACAATCTGCATTCTTCAACAAACTGTTTTCTGCAGCACACAAGTTAATATCTGTAAGTTAAAGGGCTATGGTTAAATTGCCTCATAAAAAAAGTTAGAGCGGCTGTGTTAGTTCAGCAAGATAGCTCGATGTTGATTAACTATGACTCTTAACGCTCTTTAAGAGATCATGACCTTGTAAGATATCCTGTTGAATGTACTTATATATATGACAGCAATGTTCGCATGTAAGCATTCAAGATGACACATGAATGTGTTTGGTTCTGCCAGTGTACCTGCCTTTCTTTTCTGCAAGTAATTGTGAAGATGCTGTTTGTCTTTGTCTCTTGTAAATCAATGTGTGGCCTGCCAACTTCCTGAAATACCTCTGTGTGATGGGTATTCATTTGCCCATATGTTGTTGTCTGTACGATTCCTCACTCTCATCAAAGAAAATTACGCTGGGTGTCCAATTTCTGTTGTGACATGAAAAAGGAAGTGATTTGCTCAAGTGTGACCTCAGGCTGTGCAGACGCTTGGATGTGTAACCTGCTAATAATAGTGTGGCTGGCCTAAAGCTGCAAGAATGATTCACTTTAGATTGACTTGTTTGATGGTCAACTCAGATGTTAAGATGATAAGATTGATGCTCAATGATCTCCGTGGTCTCTCTGATGCTGTTTTCATACATGCACAAAACGCCTGAAATTCTGTCACCAAGTTTCAGTAGGAGCTACAGGCATGTGTGCATCCTTAACTCATGATGTCTTCGCCTCCTGAGATCCCTCTATGGTGGCCCTGAAGGTCAACTGTCTAAATATTTCACTAGCTGCAAATATATTTCATCTGCTGCAAAATATATTTCACAAACCGGAAAGGGTATGTCCATACTACTTGTTTGTGATTGGACTGAAGTCATGTCAGTACAGTCATGTGACCTCTCTTCTGCTGTACCGTCTCTCCGGTGTGTCGTCTACCTTGCTAGTTTCTTAGACCGGCTTCGGGTGTTGACCGTTGACAGGAGAGTTTTCGTGTGGGATGACAGGATGCCTATATATATATATATATATATATATTTATATTTAGCAGCAGGTGAAATATTTATCCCCTCCCTGTCTCCAACGGAGAAAACTTCCAGCTGTGAGGAATATGTGTGACAACTAACTCAGCCAGACTTTTCATGGGCAGCCCGGAGTGCATGTGTGAAAACAGCTCAGAGGACTTTTCCACATCATTTACATCCTATTTTTGATAAAGAATGTACACAATAGGATTCATTTTGAGCCGGTGACACTTTGTACCTGACGTGTCTTGGCCATTATTCTTATGTTATCCTTGTGAATATTACGTGCAACATTAAGACGGCAATTATAGTTTCTATATAAATTATTAGCATGTCTAACACACAACAACAGATCAGTCTATTATCATGATCTGGCACTAGTGCTTCAGTCCCGGAGGTTTGCTTAGGGCTGATGAAACACGTCATAAACAAATATTGTGTGCTTTCATCAGTGATGTGGTTTATTTGCTCTTCTCTATAAGTAAAGACATACTCTAACACACAGTTACTCATTGTTTACTGTGTCATCTTCTCAGTTTTTAAAAAGGCAAACAGGTGTTGTCTTAAATCCCTCACTGTTCCTCTATCAGGTAAGATATGCCAAGTTTGTTGCTTAGCATTTCTACTGTCTGTAACCCCCAATTCACACATACTCCGTACACGCTGCAATGTGTCTTGGCCATTATTCCCATGTCCTCCTTGTGAATATTACGTGCAACATTAAGGTGGCAGTTCTAGTTTCTATTTTGACAGAACAAATCTTAATTGCTTTTTGTGTTGACAATTAGGTGTGACCTCCAATGGAGGTATAAGTGCTAGTTGTCTGGTTATTGGGGGACTAAAAGGACAAAATTTACCTAAGGTAGTCTGAGTGCATGTGGCTGATGTAGATGAAATCAGCTGTACACATCCGGTCCAGGCAGTCTGTTGGAGGCTCATGGACAAGCCACCAACCTCGGGCGAATGCAGGACCTATCAACCATGGGTCGAACATGAACCGCTTCTGGCCCAGCTGCACCTCCATGCAGGCGTGGGTCATGTATGTCATCTGTGTGTCGTCAGACAAAATAACATTGCATGGCTCTTGAGACTAGCAAAGAATGTGCCAAAATTCAAACTTTTGCTTTTTGTGAGGTACTTAAAAACACTAAGTGTTCTAGCGACAGGTTACAGATCCTGACAGAAGCCAGTCAAGGAAGGCCCCTTCATTGAAAACCCAGTCAGAGTTCTGGCAGGGAACCTGGGATGTACATATAGCTGCAAACAGGTTCTGTTTTACCACGTAAATATATCTTACTTTGAGGAAAAACTGATTTAAACAACCACCATAGAACCAGTCTATTCAGGGCCCAAGCACTAGCCCATTGTTTGTGAGGACTTTATTGAAACTGTAGGAGTTATTATTATTTTATGTTTGTTAGTACGTATTTTCGTGAATTCATTCATATTGATAATTTTGTGGATATATCTTTGAATTGTGTTAACCATCTCAGAGTAATTCTTCTTTTAGGTTTGTGAAGCTGTAATACATATGTGTTAGAAAACTCATCGCTGCAGAGTTATATTTGGATTGAAGTGTCTGTTGTGAGCTAAAAAGGAAATGTGACTCTGAGACTGAAGAAATGTATATGTGTTATATTTACGAGTCAAAGTGATGTCTTCTTTCTAGCCTTTTAGAGATGTAACAAAGCAGCCAGGAATTTGTGGGCTGCAACTTCTAGCCCACAAATTCCTGGCTAAGCAACACTGTGACGATGAAGACTTTGCCAATGAGGCCAATGATGGTCAATGATTGCCAGCGATTGTGAGATCTTGGTCAGCATGGGTCAGCGATGGTCCGCACTTTGTCAGCCATGTGTGTTGTGTTTCTATGTTGTCTGATCATGGCTGAATAAATCCTAAAATGATCCACAGTCTGTTTCACGATTTCATCATTTAATCTAAACAGCAGCGACAACCCCCACCCAACAATGTTCTTTTGCTTGTGTAACGTATTGACCCGAAGTGAGCCCAAACTCACAGGACACAAATGAAAACCCCACTCTTCCTGTTTACTGATAACAAAAGTCATTCATCTGATTAACTGTTTCAACGAGACTTTGCATCGGAATGTGAAGAACAGGACGTCATAAAAACAAACCTTTTTGCAATAAGCCTTTAATCTACGTTGGTGAACCAGACCACTTGGATACGTGTGAATAACTTTCAGAATAAACAATCCCAGGAAGACAGCCGTCTGCCGAGTTAATCGACACGGCAGGGAAGGCCTTTGATGTGATCTGGACTATCTCAAACGGACTTAATAGCTTTTAGACCCGTTTAACAAACTGCCTTAACCAACATAATCCATTTCTGATATGAAAGAATTTCGGTTCAGTCCCTGAATCGGATATATGTATTCATGACATCAAGACTAACACTTCCATGCAAGTTAGATTCCGCTACGATCATCTATGACGAACTTAGATATTGAAAAACTAAATCACATTACCTGGTGAACTCTCCTTGAATCTTACGTGGAGCACTACTGCCCCCTAGTGGCAAGAGTGCTGTACCGACCTGAGTTTCAGGACGGAAGAATTGTCCTACCGTATTTTCCGCACTATAAGGCGCACTTAAAAGCCTTCAATTTTCTCAAAAACCGACAGTGCGCCTTATAATCCGGAGCGCCTTATATATGGATCAATTGGTTAATTGGTTGATCCATACTGGTTGTGCACGGCGCTCAGCGACACTGACTCGGATAATGATGAGAGGGAGCCGGGCATGTTGGATGCCGTACTCGCCCAACTGTTCAATTCGGACACTGAAGAAGAAGAATTCGAGGGATTCGTGGACGGGGAATGAACTGAAAAAGTGAGCTTTACGTGTTATACGTAACTGAACAATGTTGAGTTATGCACTAACGTTTGAATTAGCGGTATCAGACTGTGTTTCTTTTACGTGTTTACAACTGAACAAGGCTGGGAGATATTGTGAATATGCACATTAACGTTTGAACAACGTTGAGTTATTGTGAAAACGTAGTTTTATACGTAAGTTGAACAATTTCGAGAGTTACTATATTGTGAATGCACTAACGTTTGATTTAGTGGTATCAGACTGTTTCTTTTACTACGTGTTTACTGAATCAGGGAAAAGTTCCCCTCCACGTTTGGGAGAAGAGTGAACAAGGCTGGGAGATATTGTTAATATGCACATTAACGTTTGAACATCGTTACCATGGGAGTGAACGGAGTGACGCTTAATAAAGTTTGACTTTATCTGACTGTTTTGTTGACATTCCCTTTAGCACAGCTCCATCTAGTGGATGCATAACGCAACCCCAGTCAAACGTTTGACTGCAGTATCTTATATTCTATGCGCCTTATAATCCGGTGCGCCCTATATATGAAAACAGTTCTAAAATAGGCCATTCATTGAAGGTGCGCCTTATAATCCGGTGCGCCTTATAGTGCGGAAAATACGGTAGTTATAAACTTAGTATTTTAAGATATGATTTTATACTCTTCATACTATATTAATGTGTTTTTGAATGTTGAATGGTATAATGCTGATTTCATTCCCATACAGGCAGAAATCGTCTAACTGTCTTCAGGTTGGACGTAATGTTTATTTCTTTTTTGAAATTTTCTTTTTATTAGGAAAAGCACAGTATGGTTTACATTGCACAGAACCTTCATTACTTGACAGACTACCTTGATCCTCATATAGTTATTTGACCATTGTTTGTCCCCCATTCCGCAGGGACTTGGGAAAGACTGGTGCGGAAAGTCTGAGTGTCTTTGTCCATAATGCTTTCCCAAAATTTAATTTTTCTTATAAATCATTCATTTACTGCAACATGTGAACCACAGAACCGGGGAGCTTACTGTTTCTGAATCAAGCAAAAAGAAAAAACAAGATGTAGAGGGTAGGTCTTCACAATTCACAAATAAAATCAGTTAAAGTCCGATCTTACAGGTTTTACGTACTCAGTCCATTTAGACCATATTATATAAAACTTTTCTTGTTGTACTCTGAGGGAAAATGTTATCTTTTCCATGACGTAGATCCCATGTATAATTTCCATCCATTCCTCGATGGTGGGTGGGTCTACTTTTAACGATTTTCTCGTTATGGCTTTTTTACTTGCTGCCAATAGTATGCCGAGCAATTTTATGTCATTCATGCTACAATTTTCAGACAATATATCACCCAGATACACAGTTTCACACTTGAAAGGAATGTTTAAGCTAAACACATTCCTAATATGTTGATGAATTTGTTTCCAATAACTTTTAATAACCTGACAGTTCCAGAATATGCGGAAATGGTCGGCTCCGTTAGACCCACAAAGTCTCCAACAAGCATCCCCACCCCCTTGATGTCTTTTCTGAATGGGTGTAACAAAAAATCTCACAACATTTTTCCAGCAGAACTCATGCCACATGTTCGACCCTGTTGAGAGCCACTGTAACCGGCATATCTTTTCCCAACTCTCCACAGAAATCAGCACATTGCCTTCTTTTTCCCACTTCTTCTTTATGTATTCTGTGCTCTCTTGTTTAGATTGTAGGATGCCGTTACATAATCTGGAGAAAGATTTGGACTTGGGAAGAAAATAGAAATATCTGCAGGAACCCTGATTCCCCCTTTTCAAAAGCCTTCTTCAGGTTTTGGTTAACGTAATGCCTTACCTGCAAGTATCTGTAAAAATCATCCCTTCCCAAACCATGTTTATTTTGTAGAGCTTCAAAGCTCAGAAATGCCCCCTTGTGGACAAATGAATAGTAGTTGGTCAAACCTTTTGATGTCCACTGATTAAATCTGCCATCCCTTCTATTTGAAGCAAAATCTGAATCGTGAGCACACCACCTAAGAAGTTTAGATGACTCTCCTACTCTGCAAATTTTTACTATTTCCTGCCAGGATTTCAGAATAATGTCCTGCATGGAATCATCTGAAACCAACAGTTCACCCTGTAATTTGTTATCTGGTAATAGAGCTGGTATTGGTATGTTTTTACCGTTGTGCCTTCTACATCCTTCCAACCTGCCGTATAGGTTGATGAACATAAGCAAACTAAAGGTCTCAGTTGGGCTGAGTAGTAATATTCTTGTAGGCAGGGGAGACCCATTCCACCTTTTTCTTTTCTTAATTGAAGGGTCTTATATTTAATCCTGGCCTTTTCCCTCTGCCATATATATCTTGATATTAACCTGTCCCATTCTGAAAACTGTTTAGGAGGTATTTTGACTGGTAGGCACTGAAAAAGGTAGAGCATTCGTGGAAGAACATTGATCTGACCGAATCAATCCTAGAACTTAAGCTCAAAAAGGAATAACATTCCATCTTGTATGTCTGACTTTAGCCTAGAGTTTAAAGGACCATAATTAAAATCAAATTTTGGAAAAGTCCCTCGGCAATGCAACTTCCAAATATTTTATGTAATCTGCTTCCCATTTCCATTTATATAAATTCCTAATCTCAATTGGAGGGTCATAATTGAGTGTTAATACCTGGGTTTTATGTTAATTTTGTACCCAGAAAGTAAACCATATTCCTTCAGCATTTCCATTAATAGTGGAAGTGTCTGTGTGGGTTGAGTTAAAGTTATCAATAATCATCAGCAAAAAGAGCTAATTTCTGCTCCCCAGATAACATTGGTACCCCTATGATGTCAGACCTCTGCCTAATCCACTGGCTCAGGGGTTCTATGAACAGGGCAAAGAGGAGTGGCGATGCGCAGCAACCTTGTCTTGTTCCCCTTTCCAGAACGAATGAGTTGGTTAAAGCACCATTAATCTTGATTCTGACGGTTGGTTTAACGTACAGTGCTGCAAATGTGTCAATTATGGTTGTATGTAGGCCAAATTTTGCTAGTACTTTATACAGAAAAGACCATCTCACTGAATCAACGCTTTCTCTGCATCTAAGCTTATTATGAGCGTCTTCAATTTCCTTGTGTGACTTGTCTCATAAGTGCAGTGTTTTCCTGATGTTATCTTGAGTCTGCCTCTGCCTAATAAAACCTGTCTGGTCCTTATGTATTAGGTC